TTGTTTTGTGTTATTATAGTGTGATTGAGGGATGAAGTTTTGTGTTGTTATAGAATGACTGTGGGATGTTGTTTTGTGTTATTATAGTGTGATTGAGGGATGAAGTTTTGTGTTGTTATAGAATGACTGTGGGATGTTGTTTTGTGTTATTATAGTGTGATTGAGGGATGAAGTTTTGTGTTGTTATAGAATGACTGTGGGATGTTGTTTTGTGTTATTATAGTGTGATTGAGGGATGAAGTTTTGTGTTGTTGTAGAATGACTGGGATGTTGTTTTGTGTTTTTATAGTGTGATTGAGGGATTAAGTTTTGTGTTGTTATAGAATTACTGTGGGATGTTGTTTTGTGTTATTATAGAATGACTGGGATGTTGTTTTGTGTTTTTATAGTGTGACTGAGGGATTAAGTTTTGTGTTGTTATAGAATTACTGTGGGATGTTGTTTTGTGTTATTATAGAATGACTGTGGGATGTTGTTTTGTGTTATTATAGTGTGATTGAGGGATAAAGTTTTGTGTTGTTATGGAATGACTGTGGGATGATGGAATCACACTATAAAAACACAAAACAACATCCCACAGTCATTCTATAACAACACAAAACTTCATCCCTCAATCACACTATAATAACACAAAAAAGTACACATCTTCTCTGTTAACTCAGTAAGTACTGTTGTAAATATAACTATGTCAACAAATACACGTCTTCTCTGTTAACTCAGTAAGCTCCGTTGCTAAATCACTATGTCAACAAATACATGTCTTCTCTGTTAACTCAGTAAGTATTATTGCTAAATCACTATGTCAACAAATACACATCATCTCTGTTACCTCAGTAAGTATTATTGCTAAATCACTATGTCAACAAATACACGTCTTCTCTGTTAACTCAGTAAGCACTGTTGCTAAATCACTATGTCAACAAATACACGTCTTATCTGATAATTCAGTAAGCACTGTTGCTAAATCACTATATCAACAAATACACGTTATCTCTGTTAATTCAGTAATCACTAATGCTAAATCACTATATCAACAAATACACGTCATCCTGTTAACGAGCAAGTACTGTTATATAAAGCACTACGCCAGCAAACACGTATCTTCCTTATTAACCCAACAGGTACTGTTACATAAGATAATGTAAGATAATGTGTTAACAAATACTTACCTTCCCGGTTCACCCAACAAGTACTATTATAAAAGTGCTGTATTGAATAATTCATCTATTTTCTCTTAACCCAAAGTACTATCATGAAAACATTCTATCAGCAAATATAATTTTTTCTTGTTAACCCAGCTAGTACAGGTTACAGGTAAAGCATTGTATGAAGAAACACAAGGTATATGTTGACATACGTTGCTTGGATTTAGAAATTATCATAATAATTCAGAAAGCCATTATCAAACGAAATAATACTAGTTAACATCATAAAACTTATTCTTTCATATCATGCTTGGTAGATTATATATATATAGTTGAGCTGTTCAGCACTAGGTGACACTACTGGTTCTCATCAACGGTCTCCAATGAAATATGAGAGTTTCTTTACTGAACATACCAGTAGACTTTTGGCTATATCCTGTCCTATTTATTCCACATCTTTTGCTTTTCTCATCTACGCTATACACCACTTATACAAAAACTGCTATTAGAAAGATGTTAGATTGTTAAAATACGACAGAGCTCAGATAATTAAAATACCCAGACAGCCCATTGTGTAGCTTTATGCTGAAATAGCAATAGTTTTGAGATTTCCCTAAGCCTAAGTTTCAGTTCTATGTTTAGCCAATTTCATAGATACGAACTTCCCGCTCATTCAAAGTTTCTATCCATAAAATGATTTTATTATGATTTCAGAATGAGTACTCAGGGTCAGCTATCATACTATTATCAAGTGCTAAGTAGATCTACCATTTGGGGTTAGAGGTTAAAGCATATATACAATCTAAAATTGATTCATCTTAGCCCACCATTCACGTGATGATCTAGCAATAGCAACACGTTATTCAGTCACGTGACAATCTAGCAATAGCAACACGTTATTCAGTCACGTGACGATCTAGCAATAGCAACACGTTATTCAGTCACGTGACGATCTACCTATAGCAACACGTTATTCAGTCACGTGACAATCTAGCAATAGCAACACGTTATTCTACCAGTTTCTGTCCAACATATCGATCTCTAACAGTCACACTATAATAACACAAAACATCATCCCACAGTCATTCTATAACAACACAAAACTTTATCCCTCAATCACACTATAACAACACAAAACTTCATCCCTGAATCACACTATAATAACACAAAACATCATCCCACAGTCATTCCATAACAACACAAAACTTTATCCCTCAATCACACTATAAAAACACAAAACATCATACCACAGTCATTCCATAAGAACATAAAACTTTATCCCTCGTTGATATGGTAATATTTACAACAATATTTACTGAGTTAACAGAGAAGACGTGTATTTGTTGACATAGTGATATTTACAACAATACTTACTGAGTTAACAGAGAAGATGTGTACTTGTTGATATAGTAATATTTACAACAATACTTACTGAGGTAACAGAGAAGACGTGTATTTGTTGACGCAGTGATATTTACAATAATACTTACTGAGTTTACAGAGAAGACGTGTATTTGTTGACATAGTTATATTTACAACAATACTTACTGAGTTAACAGAGAAGATGTGTACTTGTTGATATAGTAATATTTACAACAATACTTACTGAGGTAACAGAGAAGAC